GCGCAATATACACGGATACAAAGAACGTAGAGTACGCTCTTAGCTCGCAATCCTTCTGATTCGCCTGAATTATATCTGTATTTAACCTATTATACCGCTGGTATTAAGGGTATAACAGTCTATCGTTGTTTTTCAGAAGAAAATTCACATAGGTCGGGGATGCGACGGGATTTTGAGCACAAAGCTAGGACGAAGCGCGGCGTTTAATTACCGTAAACTTCGTTGCGTTGTTAAAAATGAATACCGCGAAGGATTTATAACGATGCAGAAGTATACATGAGAAAGCACATACGTTATTAACGTGTGACACTCGTGAACGTCGGTGACATATAAGAAGTTTAAACTCGCTCTCGACAAATTTAATTCGCGATAACTCACGATTGATTAAGTATTAGATTATTTCAATCACGTCGAAAATATATTTCCTGAAATGTTCGTAATAACTACATAATTGCGTGTATAGGTGGCATTGACTAATTGTTACCAGTTCCAAGTAATTACGTGAAATTCGCTTCAATATAGATCGCTTCACATGAGAAAAAGAGATAAAGTATGTGCGCAAACATTTTCTTTATTTGTTAAGTCTCTAATGCAGATTTAGTATATTATATGTAACACAGATTTATCATAAATATATAATCTCATAAAGACTTACCTTTTATAGAGAAAGTTTACTCTTTAAATTTATTGCATAATCGATATAGAACTCGCTTCGCAAACACTTCTAATAATGTCTGCATATTTTAACGAGCGCTAAACGAGACAAAATTCCCCTAAGAAATTAACCGCGTGAAATTTTGCTGCTTCAGTGTCTCTAAGCCTCTCACAAACGCGTTCTCCCGCAGCGGTAACATCAGCGGCATTACCAGCAGCAGCAGCAGCAACAACGAGGGATCCTTTTAATTCCGTGTCGGAATCACGCCGAAGGAGACCGTCGCGTATCTTTAGTAACCAGTGCATATTTCATAGATGTGCCGTGTATGCGCATAATTTTCAAGCGACTGCTCTTACACCCGCCTGCAGGCGCGTCTTCCACCCCCTCCGGCGCTCGCCTACTACGGAGTACTACGGACCCGGCTGTCCGCCTCGCTGACGGACGTTCTCTCCTCGCAGCTCGGGGCAGGAGCTGCTCGCTGCTTCGCGTCCTACTCCGCGAAGGGCTGTGAGAGAGTTGATTAATCTCTACAATATTTAAGAAGCGCCGGGGTCGAGAGCAAAAAGCCTTCCGCCCGAGTTTTACCGAGATAGCTTTCCTCGTTATATAAATCCCCCTGGCTAATCCGCTGTTTGCATCGATGTACCTCTTGTGTTTTCTCTGCGGTATCCCTGCCTTCTTGTTCCCCCCGTGATTGTTCTCCACGATGCGTCGCTCGCATGGCCACTAAATACATCACCTTAATGGATTTCTAGGTGTGTCCCCAAAAGAAGCTTCTTAAAAGTTCGATTTTTCATACTAGAATGTTATCAGGAAATTTTTTATCAGAAAATCAGATATTATTAACGTAATATCGCAATAGTATCAGAAGCTTCTGTAGAAAAGGTAATGTTAGACTATTAACCGTTTAGGCGGTTATAACAGCTGCTATGAATTTTATTTATATTGAATACGAGAAACATACGCGAGAACAAAAGATTATCATGATTATCTGGCAATAAGTTGCGGCAAATATTTCGCGATTAAACGTTAAATGAAATAGGATAGTTTTATATCGGAGAGTATAAAATATACGGGCACGGAATTGATAATCCGTGCGATCACGCGTACATAATACTTCATATATATTTACAGTATTACTTGCAATTCGAAGTTCAATTCGACTGATTTATTTTTAACGTTACTCGTGGCGTATCGAATTTAAATATATGACAGCTCTCAAACCAATTAAGTTAATCCGCGTAACGATTTCACGAGACAATTTCAGTGCAAGTACGTACGCGCGAATAATATGCCGCAATGTCCCTTTACGTTCGACCAAATATTTATGCGAGTGTAACTCGATGAGATGCGGGATCGCGTCGCAGATTGGTAGATAGAATTGTGCGACGCGGCAATTGCGTTACCCAGTTTATCGTATCCCGTGCGTTAACTTGCGGCCACGTGCCCACCAGGGGATTTTGGCATGTGGCGCGCATAACTCGCGCGCTTTAACAATTATGAGTCCGAACGTGCGGATTCAATAACGGCGCGCCCCTCGAAGTATATACTTTACGATAACAAGTTACATTATAGAATTGTCGCCTACTTGTGCGAATTACTTGCGCGAGATAGACGCCGAGAGCGCACCGCGAAAGCAGATAATTGTATTACTAATCACGCTGCAGATGGAGCAAACCTGCAGAGTTTGCTCGGCCGCAATAACTCGCGGTGGTTGCGGCCATTGAAGATTTCACGTTGGCACATTTCTCGCGAGAGGAGAAACGTAATGCGTTTAATCAATAAATCGATAGTACATTGCCAAGTGTACCTACAAAAAAAAATAGTTTTAACACTGTACAGCGCGAAGGGTTCATTTCGAAAAGCGCATCATCGGTCAATTACGACGTCTGTCACTCTCGCACCTCTCGCTCATCGAAATAGCGCGACAGAACGGAGAATAAAAAATCGCGAGATTTAATTCAATCAATCTGGGTTAAAAAAAAAACTGCGGGCCGGAGAACTGACGTTTAACACAAAAAGCGCGACACCGAGCACAGAATTATTGAACGTCGAACAATATAATGTATGGAATTATTAAATAACGAAACTCTATTCCATAGCGTAATTCTATTCCGGGCATGAAGAAAAGATATAGAGAGAGAGAGAGACCTAAAGGACGTCCCGCGGATGCCCCAACTACCAGGGAGCAGGCGATAATTGCATTGCTAATAGCACGACGGCGAGTGGGTGGGGAACTTGCACAGTTTATCGCACTTTATTGCTTTACCATGAGCGTCGTACCCTCTGGGCATTCTCCGATGGCGCGTATGCAGTTTGCCCTGTTCTGTCCTGAAGCTTAACGCTCAATGTGCAAAGACGATAACGGCGTAACACGCGTGGAGACACAATGTAGATATTAGATAAACGCGCGCCCCGCGCGCTTTACGGGGCTATCATTGCCACGATTTACTGCTCTTGATGTTGAATACGATGCCGTAACTTTCTTCTTTGGCTCCGTTAATTAGTTATCTGTCGTCTATGATTTATTACGGAGAGCGGAAGAAGAAATCATCTCGTGATATTCCGGAATAAGTGTATGCAACAGTAAGTGCTTATATGCCCTTTAATTATTACTTGATTATGAGTACTAAAAATCTTTTCGTACATTTGTGTAGAACTCTCCAATGTTTTACCGGTTGAATATACTGTGATGTTTATATATTAAATAGAAATCATATTAATCCATCCGAATCCAGGATTAATGTAACAGAGATAAGCTGAGATTCATAAAGTAAGATATAAACATTATAGGGGTGCGCAATAAAGAACTTACAGTCGACCCGATGAAACAGATAATATCTTTTTTGCAAGTTTCTATAAAGATCTTATTTGCGACATTAATCACGAAAGCAAAATCTAAAAGCCATAAGTTGATAACACTGACACGCAAAAAAATAATTATCGAAAGTCTAATAAAAACTTAAGTTGATTCACGTGCGGCTGTCACATGAAAAATATTGCCGTCTGAGTGTCCTGAATTTCAATCTATCTGGGGCGAAGTCGGAGTAAACACGGAGAAATTCACGACGCCACTCGGCGGTGACAATATAATCACTTTCAGATTATCTGCGTTAAAGATTTTACCGCGCATTTGTTCATTAATTCTCAAATGACTGATTCATTTGAGAATTAATAAATAAATGCACGGCAGGATTGATGTTTTGTATTAAGCATGGTGCATTTTATCCGTTTCGCGGAGATTTGTAATGCGCACGATTAAATAATATAATTGTTTTTGTCGAACAATTAAATATTTGTCCGTACATTTCCCCCGCCAAACCTATCTGCATACGTATATGTCGTTGCGGAGATGCGATCGGACTGAGTGTGGTGAAACTCCTCGTAAATCGGATTATCGGAGAAATCCGAAGAAAACACGAAATTGCTCAACCGATAAGATGCGGCTTTTTATTTCGCATTTTCTAACGCACCTCGGACTGGACTGCCTGTGCAAGCGGGTATCTCTACGTTCGTAATTGATGAAAATTTACTTCGAATTTCTTTTTTCAGCAAACGTCCGTCGATCTGCTGCTTGAGCGAGACGTCGATGCCAAGACTCGTGGGACCCGAAGAAAAACGCACGAGGAAGGAGAACATCCTCTTGTACCAAAAATTACTTTCCGTATTGAACTTCAGCTGCATTACAAATACGCCCGTTTCCCCTTGTAAAAGTACTTGAAAGTTTCGACTCGCGTAGACAAGGGATCCCGAGACATCGTAAGGGGGAAACTCGTGGAATCGTTTTTAAGTTCGTACATAAGCGAACAAAGAAAATTCTCCAAACGCTCGAAACAAAATATGTAATTCGGTGCAAAACATAATTAAATGATCAAGTGTTAAAAAAATTTATGATATATGTATATTTATTGCAAAATGCGTAATAGAAATACATGTAAAATAAAAAGACTAATAAAAAAATAGTAGCATGAAATATTAAAAACTCGTGTAGATATTTATACCTAAAAATAGCAACGGTGTTATTACAATTTTGAAAAATGATTTTAATTGATCTATTTTAATAAAATGTAAAACTATCCAATAAATAATACGACCCCAATAAAGCTACTAATATAAACCGAAATTAAATTGTGTAAAATCGCGTACGTTTGCAACTTATAACTCTTTCATCTCAAGTGAGTGAACTTACGAATATCGCTTCTTCGAGTTAAATTGACTGAAATGGATACAAGACATCACAAAAACCGAGTGGAAGATAGATTTTCGATATTTTACGTGCAATATAAATCGAAAATAATCACTCGCGTTACAGCGGCACAGAAAATAATTTAATATAACGACGTACCTTTGTGATGTTTGTTGATGCTTATTACTTGACCATCTTCTCGCTTCCACATTAATTTCGGCGGCGGATATCCGTCGGCCTTGCATGTGAGAGTAATGTTCTGATGTTCTCGAACTGCCACGGTGCTCTCCGTAGAAAGGGAATCCAATATATTCGGTGGCACTGGAAGACATAAAAGAGCTTGTGTGATTAACGTTCGTTAAATACTCCTTTTAATGCAAAATTTATTTCGGATAATGTAACGTGAAAATACTTTTCAAATGCATCGCGACAATTAAATAGAATAAAATTATTTTACATTAAAATAAATATTTAGTTACGAACATGAATATTGCTGCATTATAAACTTTTATGCCATTGCTTATTTTCTTCATATTACACGTCACATTGCAATTTATTATTATTAGGAAATATACGTTTTGTATGTAAATTATTTAGAACAAGTTATTTATAAAATAATTGAAGTTATTAATAAAATGATATTTACCAACGACTTGAAGAAAACCCACTTGGCTTATCATTGGATTGGTATTTACTTGGCACATATAATATCCCCGATCATCCTGTTGCACACTATTAATATGAAGCAGCCATGTTTTCTGATTGTCATGCGACACGGAAAACCTGGGTACTTTCACAACCACATGCTTGTGAATAGTGAGCAACATTTGACGACCGACATGGATCCACGCCACCTGAAAACAAGAAAAAAACAAATATTTAAAAATATATTGTTAAATAACAAATGTACATTATGCCAGAATTATAATGTATTTTTAAATAAAGTATATATCTTTTATAAATAAAATAACGCTCCTCATTTATAACGTTTTCTTAATGTTTCTTGTATATTATATTTAGTTCATCTTTTCCCCTTTTTCTTTTCTCTATCTCTTTCTCTCTCACTAGCGTTACCAAGTTTGATATTACTATTTCACAAACAGCAAAAGTAAATAAGTGATATAAAGTAATTGTAGATTGCATGAGATTTGATAATGATAAACACTAGAGAGAGAAAGTACTCATGCGTTTTCCAGTTTTTAAAATTATTGTCATAAATTATTGTATTAGAGTTTATAAAAGCGTACATTCTCTCCTGTTTACGTATAATGTGGGTATAAAGTATTTCCGTTCCATTTATCCCATTATAATGTACAATAAAAATTAAACTAATCTGAAACTTCATAATATACTCTCGCTAGTGATATAAACGTATATACATATACAAGTTCAAATTTAATCCAAGATCTAACGTTGACCAGCAAAGTTGAGCAACCATCACGTTGAAAATTTCAACGGTGCCCGCTTAATATACACCTCCCTCAGACACGAGTTCATAAAGCCAGGAGGAAGCAGCCGTCCGTTTATCGCACCTAGTTCCTGCATTGAATATTTCCATATTAGCACGTCGCGAAGTCACGCCGTCTCTGAAAGTCCGCAGCTAAGCGTCCCGTCAGCGAAAAATTTTCTCTCTCTACGTCTCAAGAACCACGAATATCCCCGAATACCGCCCCGGCGAATCTGCGCGGCGCGAATTTTACGATCGGTGTCAAACTTGTCTCGCGATCCTGACCTCGTCGCGACAGCAGCACGAGCGTCGATCGAATGGCATCACGAATAGCGATGTCACTGAGATCGAAAGGCGAGAGGAGAAAGAAAAGATTGCGCGGCGCGATGCTACGCGCGACCGCCAGGAATGAAGATTATTACGCCAGTATTTTACGCTCCACCGAGGTAACTCGCGTCTAACTAAGCTCATTCCGCGACAAAGCTTATGCACTTTCAAGGACTTCCGGGCCGTTTCTTCAAACCTTTCTTCTCGTTTCCTCTCCTCGCCACGGGTTCGAAGCAACGCCCGGTAGCGCAACGGCGCGCACCGTTTCTCATTCTTTTTTTTCTCTTAGCTCCTTTTTAAGTATACTTTTTCATAACTAGAACAAAAACAGCAACGAATTCCGCCCGACTCGGTTCCTATTATCGCATTTTCCTTCCTGCGAGACGTTGTAAAGCACGTTTTCGCTAAGAGAATAACATAAGAATCTACGAGTTCTCGAATACTTCATAATTAAAATATTTCCAAAGGATTTGCCTTATTTACAATTTAAAAAGTAATGTTAAAAATAATGACTAATTATCTTATTGTTTGTGTGCTCGTCGTTGTATTGCAAAGCTTCGCTGTAATTCAGTTATAATTAATATTGTTATATGTTGATCATATTATTTTTATTGATTTTATTAAGCAAATATCCAGCTTTCGCCATATCGCCTAAAATAAATAATCGATAAAGGTTCAAATAAAGAATATATCTAAAATTGAAAATTAAAGGATTTTAATGTTTATTAAACGTGTTGCAATGTTCACGATTTTGCACAATGATTTACTCGCTAAATCTCGCTTCCTTTTAGATTCGTTATTGCTGCTTGGCAACATCTGGATCCACGGAAATGGCGCTTCTTCCGCTTTTTCCTCGCCTCTTTTTCCGGGCGTATATATACTTCCTCAAATTAAGCCAGAAACAGTCCGTTTAGACAGGGTAAATTGTATCATTTCTATCCTTTCTTCTTCTTCAATCCATGCAAAAAAATTCGGCTTTTATTCGTAGCATTATTGTTTATAGAATATATTGTAACAATATTTTGATATATGCCTCATGTTTTCTGGGATGCATATCTTTATATCTTTATATATCGAATGAGAAACATTTTAACAATTTTTAAATTAAATAAACTTTTAAAAGATACGCCAAATCCAAGCATGATATATACATATCTGACAAATTATAATTAAACAATTACAGAGAAAATAAATTTCACAACAGCTACTTATCGTTAGTATAAAAACTCTATAACAGAGAGCATTATTGTTATATATTTATTGCCGCAGTTGTCGCTGTAGCTGCAGTCGTCGTGAGATGCGATTTTGTTAGAAGTTTTAACAAATTATGCTTAATCGACTTATCGCGAATCTAAATCTGATCTGACAAAACATTTACATTTAGGAGTTGCTGTTTCCCACGTTTTATCCTACTTCGAATTCTTTTCCCCTTAAGTATTTCACCTAGGAACTCGGCAACAACTTCGTCTAGAATTGTTCGCCTATGTACCGCTTTTCCTTTTCGTCGGCACCCGGGTAAGCAAAAGTTTCAAGTACGGGAAATCACAGTACATCCCGTGAAAGTTCTTTAAACAGTCAGACGCCACTGACGGCTCTCCTAACGAAGAGCTCAGAAGATGGATGGTGGCGGATCTCTGAAGCTCTTGTCTGCCAACAGGATTTGCTGGTTCCTGAGGATCTCCGAACTCAACAGATTCCGCTTCAACTTGCGTGTAATTCTGAAATCCGCAGCGCGAACATGCGGTCGCCACAGTTTTCGGCAGGTTTCTCTATACCGCATTCGCGAAAAAGAAAAGGAACAATCCGACCGCCTGCACGAAAGTCTCAAGGTGAACAATACGAGATCACTACTGCCAGGACAACAGTAACAGTTTTCAATTGCTTCTCATTATTATTAGAAAGCATCCATCCAATAATTTACAAACAGGTCCCTCTATCTCTTCCTCGCGAATGAGATTAAATTGACCATTATATAATGCCGCGCGAAGTCCCGAGATTAATAAGTTTTATATTACATACATCTCTCGGGGCAATTTTCACGACGGTTTATAAGCAAGGCTCGCCGAGAGGAGCGCACCGGGAAAGTTGCCCGGGATCTCTCGGAAAAGTCACCGTAGCGCGATACAAGAAACTTTCGTAGTCACGCACTGTGGATGGCTCCTAAGTTCTAACGAAGAGGAAGCCGTCGCGACGCGCACGTGCACGGAGATGAGGGCTCGCTTATATAAATGTGTTCCCCAGAGTGTCTTGAAAATTAAATTTTGGACACAAATATAAACCGTGGTAATATAAATAGTATAAATCTGATCAATTAAAGAAGAACGGTCAAGACTGGATCCTGGAAGCCTTAATAATATTATCCGCGTGAATAATATTTTTGTGAACACTTTTATCTTTGTATATCTATAGCATATATCTGTGCTGCAGCAATAAGAATGGTAATGACTAAAATAAAACGTAATATGCAGCCTCTGATTTAACGAGTAAGAATGAATCTTAAAGAAGAATACTTTCTTGTGCTCTACATAACTGCGGTATTATATCGGCCTTAAACGGTCTCGACAAAAAACCCCCACTGGTTGCAAGCACGATTGAAAATTCTGGCAGTGATTCAAACCCAGTCTGCAACGTAGGAATGTAAAATATTATCGCAAAACCTACTGTAACTTGCGGTGACAAGTCGCATTTTTCTAATAACTGGGTCGCCCGTTTAAAAAAAAAAAGATAAATTTAACAAAATATTTTAACGCGATTTTCACACGGAGGTTGTAAAGAATGATATTTGATGTGAGCAGGTGCACATCAATACGAGCGTGCGCCAAAAGGTATTGAGAAACGATCATCTAAATTATAACAAATCTAGTGATCGTGACAGGTTATATCATAGCGCGATATGGATATCTAGCTTTTACAATTATACCTACGTATGATTTATATAACTAGCGCGCGAAGATAGAGATTCTGTTTGCACATATCGGTATCTATTGACAGTACGATGGATGATTCAATGCAATCTAGATTCACGTGTTCATCGCTCGCTTCGATCACTTTTATGCTTAACCTCGCACCCGAGAGCTCGTTTTATACGGAGATTTTTTCTTTTTTTACTGATCGATTGACAGCCCGAAAGCTGATAAGAGGATACGCGATAATTAAAATATAGAAACCGTAACGCAATCTCCGTACCGTGAAATAATTTCAACTTTCTGTTGAATGCAATCTGCTCCTGCGATATCGACTGTTCCTCCATTTACGCATATAAATCCATATTTATATGTTATTTTTAGCCAATAGTAAATTTCCAAGTCAAAATCGAAAGGAAACAAAAACGGAATAATTCATGACAACTACAACTTAATGCGGCAACAATTCTCAGCAATAAGAATCGCCGGTTTTATAAAAAGAAGATGCAACAATATTTCAGTGTGGAGCAGAGTTACTAAGACAGTCACAGAAGATAATTACGAGTCACAGAAAAAAATTGCGGAGAAAATGATATCTAAATATAAAAAAAAATTGTATTTGTACTATTCTTACAGGAATTTCTATAATAAAAGCGAAATAATTATTGCAATAATTATATAGAGGTTTATTACATTTATTAGTTTATTATATAGAGATTTATACATTGACTGATATACTCCATACTTTCAAGTATTACGGACATCCAACGTTTATTCGGAGTTTATACATACTGTACAAACTTTTGTAAGTTATACATTGTAACATTGTACAGACGTACTTGTGTGCGAATTACTTGATGAGAAATCGCATATGCTTAGATAAGGCCAACATTTCAAGCAAGTATATACATAAGTTCTGTCGAGAACGTTTGCACAATAACAGAAACGTTGATAAGTAAAAGTGCAAGCACTTTGCGCCAGTTTCCCGGTTTTTTGCATGACAATCAACTGAAGTGACATCGCAAAAAATGCAAAGTATTTTATATTGTGTTATATTTATGCTGCGATGGCCCCCCGTCTATTCAAGCTTCGCAAAAGTATATGATAAAACATTTAAAAGTTTTCCTATATTTATAATCACGTTTAATAAGTACGCTTTTATTTTTTATAGCTTTTT